TAAGTCTACAAAAGCTCATGCTACAACTTCTTTTGCACAGCTAGTCTCAAAGATACTATATAAGATGCCTTTGCATACTGAAATTCCAGTTTAAGGGCCTTTGCAGACGGGCGGCTGTGGGCCACCCTGAGAAGTTCAGGATTGGGGCCTAGGCTGCCCCATGCCTTGGCCCCAATCCACCCTTCTGTCAGCCCTGGAAAGAACCCTAAAATAGTGCTCCTTCCAGAGTGGGCAGAAGGGGTACTGGAAGAGCCATCATGCAGCTCTTCTGCGTCTCTTCCAGCTCAGCCCGTGCAGAGGCTGGGCTGGGAGGATGTCATCGGAGTGCTTGCCATGTGCAATGGCAGGCGCTCTGATGATGTCCTCAGGAAGGGGTTGGGGCGTCTGGCGTCCGGCTGCCCCTCCCCTTCCCTGGCTCCAAGACAGTACTTTGCACTAGACTCCCTAAATATTGCTGAAATTCAAAAAAAGCCTTTAGCAAATTGGGTTGTTAGAATTCATTATGATGAATCCCCCCTCTCCCTTGGTTAGATTTATTAAAACAGGAAGGCAGTAGGAAAAGAAAGTTTTATGATAGGAGGAAATTTATCACATAGCTCTGTTATTAGGTATGTTAAAAAGAGAAAGGACTCTTCCAGCGTGGTCTGGAAAAAAGTGAACTCTCACAATATGGCTGCTTGGGTTCTGATGGCTCTTGTCACCTCTACATTTACTCATTCTATATCAGTAGAATCTTTTTCATATATTTTTTTTCCGGAGCTGTTCCTTGCTGGATTTAGTAATTTCTTGGATTTGAACTGGAGTCTTCTGATGTTTGTTTGTTTGTATAGTTTGCTCATGTGGTCAGTGGAGGTATGGTTTGAAAAGAGTTTTATGATACTATAACCCTGGGAGCAGGGAAGGTGAGAAAGGAGATGAGAAGGAGCAGAGAATAAAGAAAAATCCCCCCACTTTCCCACTGGTCATCCTGAAATGGAAGTAACAGGTAAGGGAAACAGAGGTCACCAGCTACCAAGAACTGTACCCCATTCTACCTTAAATATCACTGAGAGAATGCCGTCTCCCAAAAGAAAACCCACTGCTACAACCTGCAACTATTTGCCTGGCCCCTTGGACATTTTTGTTACAATGTATCTCAAAATTAAGAACCCAGTTCAAAAAGTAGAAATAAAAAGGTGCATCTGGTGCTGGGAATACCAAAAATTCTAGTGGGCTCTTGGTATCTGCTGGGGTTTGGTTCCAGAACCCCCCATGGATACAAAATCCATGGGTGCTCAAGTCAAATTAAATACAATGGCATAGTA